TTTTTTCCTTAATCTTTGATTTAAAGTGTGTCGTTGTGTCTGCAGGGCAGTGCTGGAGAGAGAGGTCAGAAAGGTGATGTGGGACAACAAGGAACTCAGGTAATGATGTGATCAGCTTTTATATACTGACAGATCATAGCTCTCATTGCTCTCTGAGTAACATACCAACACTCAGCTTCTCATTTCTTTACATCAAGTGATGCTTAAACACATTACTGTGCTTTCATCATTGAATATAAATCATTTAGAGAGATAATAAAGATCAAATTTAGACTGTGAGGTGGAATTACCTGTTACTTAGGAAAGAAGGAGACTTCCACATCACTTTGGAAGTGTTTAACCTGCTTTCATCCCGATGTCTGTCACGTTGTGTCGTTCCTCCTTTGCTGGAGCGAATAAAACGCAGGTACAAGACTTCATAACCTCAGTCTAAGGCTACGTTCACACTGCAGATGAAAGCGCATCAAATCTGACTTTTCTGACCCCATGTGACCCATCATGGTGTGACAGTGTGAACGGCACAAATCTGATCTGGGTCACTTTCGTATGTGGTTCTGAATCCGAGACATATCTGATGTTTCAGAAAGCGACTGCTGTTTGATGGTCATGTCGCTTTAAATCTGTCTTTTACGTCACTGACAGACGCCAATTATCAGCGCCGGAGAAGACATCGCGAACGCTTCCTGACCATCCAGTGTAGATGTCAGTGAAACTGTTGGGAAGACAATGTGAACATTTTATTTGTTCTGTATAATCTGCAGATTCTGACAGAAATCTGTAACTATCCTTTGAAGCAGCGCTCCTCTAAAACAGCAATATGGATCATTATTAGGCCAAACGTAAATAACAAACAAAATTGGGAAAGATAAAGTCTAAAACAAGTCTTTACATTAAGACCATCAGTCAAACAATACTGTTGTTCTGGGTCTGAACAGAGCGCGTTGTGTGTCTTCTTTTGCACATGCGGGCGCTTTGAGCGTTCACACAGGAGCGCGTTTGCTGTCACATTTTATTTGTAGTGTGAACGAGCAGACAGAAAAAATCTGATTTGATCATTACGACCTGCAGAGTGAACGCAGCCTAAAAGTGTACCTAAGAGTAAAAGTCCATGTCACAGGAGCACCTGTGAGCACTCTTCTCTCAGGAGGGATTTAGGAATCGTGCATCCAGAGCTCCATCACAGGCTTCTCACACATCATGAGTTACAGACACTGAAACTGATGCGTGTTGAGGTTCAGGGCTGCTGTGAACGTGACCTGCAGTGACCTCTGCTCTCCTCGTGCTGTTTCAGGGGGTTCCTGGAAGACCCGGAGGTCCAGGGAGGGAAGGACCTCCAGGACCCAGAGTGAGTCATCACAGACACACTAATAATGCAGCTGTTTGACAAGTTTGTTGACACTACAAATATTAACAGTCAGTAAACCACTGGGATGAGGTCAAATACTAATATGAATAATATAACCTGTAATGTAGATATTTTATCTCTGATACTGTTCATATGTTCATACTACTGTAGTAACACTATTATATCTGTAAACTGTCTCTACTCTCAGATGTTGAATTTGAGGCATTGGGTTGATTTTAAATATCTGCTAATTTGGGGCAGGAGCAACAATGAAGTACAAAAGAGGTGTGATGCTTTAAAAAATGACACGTTAATGCACGGCAGGGCTGCACGGAAGGACAAGTGGGAAAGAAAACAGATACAAGTTTCCTAAAAAGTCCAGAGGTTGAGAAAGGAGACAGTCGAGCTGCTGTCAAATGAACAAAAAGACCCTCACAGAGCGGAGCAGCATCTGTGGCCCTGGAGCGCCCCCCTCTGGCCACAGCAGCACAGAAGGGTGGCAGCCAAAGCTGGAAAGAGCGAGACACACAGCTGGGTCAAAGTCATCGGAGGAACACTTTACTCTTATTTTATTATAACATCTACTTTCACCTTCTCAGGGACTGCCAGGCAAAGATGGCCCCCCAGGCACAACGGGCCCCCCAGGAACCATCGTAAGTCACTGTTGCTGTTTGTGTGACTGTTTTGGAGGATTCAGAGGATATATATGCATGGCACTGCCTGCAGCTTCTCTGTTAGGCACTTAAATGTGAAGTTGAATTAAAACTGTGACTTTAGGTGATAATGATGGAACTGGGCTAATAACCTCAGTCAGGCGTGTACAACAGGAACAACTTTATAATAATTAAAATAATATCATTAAAAATTGCTTTTCATTCCTTCAGGGAACTCCGGGAGCTCCAGGATCCCCAGGAAGTACAGGCTCTCCAGGAAAGCAGGGAGAGCTGGGCCCACCGGTGAGTCTGTCAGTGAGTGGAGCTGCCTGTCCCCATCAACCGGCCGGGGTGGGCGGAGTTTTTAGCTCTTAGAAGGAACGCCGTCATTTGTTTTCTGAGTTTTATGTTTCTGGCATGAGCTGCTGCATGTGAACAGACGCAGCGGGTGTTGTCAGCTGACTCGACAGAGTCACACTGAGAGTGCAGCGAGGTGAGCGTCTGGTTAACAGCTTCCTGTCCAATCTGAAGCTCTAGAAGCTGTTCTACATTCTTATTGGATGTTTGTTTCGTTGTTATTATCATAAACACGGCGTTAAGTGACAGCGCTGCACAAATATTCATATTCTCTGTTTCGTGTCGACACATTTGAACCCTTTAACGATGTTTCATGTAGATTTGCCCCAGACTCTGAGAGGGAACGTTCCCGACAAAAGTATCACCATCACAGTCCTGTAGGCCAGCGGTGGACCGCTGCTGTAGGCCTCTCGCTGGTCTCGACACGTTCCTGAAATCAAATCCCCTCGATTTATGAAGTGTCTGTTTCCCTCTGAGACATGTCAACACTGAAAAGTATAAACATTTGAAATTATGTTTTTAGTTATTATTCATATAGATAAAGATTTCCAATATTTTAAATAAATGACAAAAACAAGCAGGCTGCAGTTTAATCAGGACAGCAAGATGATCAGCATGCGAGAGAATCACCTGCTTCATCTTGTGTTCGATGCTTCACAAGTTTGGAGGTTTTTCATGGATTCGTTTCTCTTGCAGGGACCTCCTGGAACTAAGGGAGAGAAAGGTGAACGGGTAAGCTCTCTGTCTTCATGTTATCACTTTACCTCCGTCACAAACGTCCTGTCTGCTGACCTGCACATAGAGATATATGTGAAACTCACTCACTAACAGCAGACATTCATCAAAGTATTAATATATGTTTTATTAATATGCAGTAAACATTAGTCACTGTTTCCTCCGTTGATGACAATAATGAAATATCAGCATTATCCAATAAGTAAATTTAATATGTGTGTATTTGAGTTTCATAACATAAATTTACTTTAAATTTGCTGTAACTAAAAATTTGACACTAGCAGCTGAAAAAGAAACGACTGCAGGTTTATGAGTAAATTTCAGTCCTAATAATTTGAGTCTGTAGCGCCTTCATAAAACAGAATATGAATCATTAAAAACACTCCCACATAACTACATGTATGTTATATGAACGTCCTGTGTATTTTCAGGGAGATCTTCAGTCGACAGCATCAGTTCAGGCCATTGCCAGACAGGTCTGTGAGCAGCTGATCCAAAGTGAGTTAAAAAAACCCAAACCTTTATTTGTTAATAATAACAATAATAATAATAATAATACTAATCATGTTTGAACTGAACTGTTTTCAGGCCACATGGCGCGCTACAACAGCATCCTGAACCACGTGCCGAGTCCTCCGGTGTCAATCCGCACAGTTCCCGGACCACCGGGAGAGCCTGGTCGAGAAGGATCCCCAGGACCACAGGGAGAACAGGGACCCCCAGGCAGACCAGGCTTCCC